TTTAGGTTCAAAATAAATAATTTATATTGCAACAAAAAATTATTTTTATTTATTAATAAATTATTTTAAAATATTAATATTTAACTTATAAATAATTATGATAAATAAAAATTAAATTAGATAAAAATTAAAAATATCCTAACAAGCTCTCATTAAAAAAAATCCTAAAAATACTCTTACATCAGATAAAAATATTCCTGTCTAATGTATAAAAGTTAATTTTAATTATATATAATAACATTATATAGGTTAAAATATTAGTTATTATATGTTATTTAATTATTATTATTATTATTATTATTAATATTAATATCAGATTGATCAAGTTTCACATTGAACCATTTGAATTTTAACATATAACTGCAACAGTCAGCCATTGGTTATCAATGTCATGGGTGCTACTCGGGATCTATTTACAACAAAAGTTCTCATATTTTCTAAAACTACTGCTATTCTATTTTTTCTATTTTTAAACTTGAGTGATGCTGATAGGTCTGCATAAGCTGGTACTTTGGAGATAGGTTGCTTCAGTTTACAGAAAACTCAGTTCATCTCCAATATGTATAATGAGACATAAAATAATTGTAATCGGGATGGTTAACTTCCAATAGCCTAATCCAATTATCAGCAGCTCTCAATAGAGAATTGGCTTTCTGACCTTGAGCAACACCATCAGAATCCCAGAGAGAAGCTTTCAACTTATGAAAGGCAAGTCCAAGGATTGGTAATGATAGCTTGGACGACAACTCCTTACCTCTTGAACTAACATGAAGTCCATCATTCTTTGGACCTGATTCAGACAACAATGTTACAGTTGATACCTTGCAAATTCAAGACAAAAAGAAATTGAACAAAGGGTCAAGGAAAAAAAATGAAATTAATTTATTCATAAACTAAAATTAACATAAATTAATTTGTCGAAATTCTCTTCTATTAACTTCTTCAAAACTTTATTTTTGATTTATGGAAAAGTTTATTTTGATTTCCTTATTATTTTCTCTTAAAAGTATTTTCGAAAAAGTTTATCCATACAGAACGAAGACAATAATACATACTTTGCAAAGTTGTTGACAGGGAATGGAAGGTCAGGAAGCAGGCACTCAGGCTCTCAAGTGTGGGACCAGTAGGTATTCTGTATATTGGATACCTTCATGATATATGCAGGAACAGATAATTTTAGATTAGTGATTATCATGTGCATAATACAACCCTAAGAATCTAATTAACTAAAAGGATGAGATAAAGCATACCAAGCCAAAGAAACCCAACTTGCAGGCGAAAGATCACAGCTCCGGTATGTCTTCAGCTCAGGAAACTGATGTGCAAGGTAAAAAATCTGGGGGCAAGAAATATGAATCTATATTAGGATCGAAAAGCAACATAATCTCATTGTCTCAAGGTGGAACCGAACCAAAGGATAAGGATCTTGCCTTATCTGCTAATGGTTCACGATTGTAAGGTATTTCATGCTCAAAGTATTCAAATATAAGCTGACCAGGTGGGCTGCAGCTCTCAATCTCATCACTTGATGAACCTGTTTGAGGTTTACTTCTTTCCAAACCATGAGTGCTTACATCTGATAAGTTAGGCTGATTCCAACTGCCATGAAACGAAAATGAAACTATTTCATAGATACACACAAAAAAGTAATAGTAGTATCAAGTATGTAAGTCTAGAAAATCAGTCAAAGTGGTAAACTGATGCATGGAATGATTGAAAAGGGTAGGAGATAGAAGCCTATTATTCGAAAAATATAATAAATAATTCTCCTTATTCTAGATTCATAGCATCTAAATAATTGTGGTTGTCATCATAAAATTAGAGGCTAAACATGAATCCTATTGAATGCCATTTGGAAATTGCAGGCAATACTAAGTTACTAAGGCGACAAGGAACAGAACAAAATAGTTTTAGAGTGACACCTGATGACAATATTATTAACACAGTATTCCATATAGCTCTGGAGTGTGACTAGCCATGTCAATATGCTAAATTCAATGCCGAAGACATACAAGTGATACAACTAACATGTGATAAACTAAATTACAAAGATAAGTAATATAGCATTACTTACATTAACTGTAGTCCTAAATCATTTAGTGTATATTAATTAATTTAGCAAGAAAATACAGTAATCAGGCTAGTGTAACATTTAAAATTCTTAGGCTTAACATCTTAATCAATGGTGGCACCTTAAAATTAGTAGAGTCTCTTGGTCCATGATGGGCTTTGAGAAGTAATAAGGAAATAAAGTTGCACCCTTACAAAAAGCCTCAGCTGTTGGGACTACACATAAAAATTGCTAACCTCCAGTTTCTTTTTTGGACAGAAACTCCACAAGTTTCTTTTATAATCAATTAGAAAAGTATGTTAACACAGTTAATATATATCAATTTATTCATAAAGCAACACATAAAAGGGATAAAAAAGAAACTCCGTAGAAAATTAACTGCTAAACAAAAAGACCTGACCACATTAGCAAACTGGTTTTTATTATATTTTATATATTATTTAACTAAATTATAAATTCACTTATAAATTTGTGTACTATAAATATCTCTTAAAATACTTTTATATATATTGGGAAAAATCCAAGTCTCACATCGACTAAAAATTAGACAATTAAATAGTGTATAAGTGAAAATTAATTTTTTTACCTTACAAGCTGGTTTTGTAGAGTTGAATTTGACTCAAATTCACTATTCTAAGAATGTATACAACTTATTTATAAAAATTATTACATTTGTATTTTTTAAAATTTTTCTTCTTCTTAGTTAATAAGAATAATCAAGTTCTTCATCATTAAATTTTTTGTTAGCATACTTTTACTTTATTAATTTTATAATCACGTCACTAAAATATCCTTAAAACTTACTCCTTTTATTAAAAAAAAGATTCTTATGTAACGTTAGTAACCCTAAACTCTAAATCAATATATTAGGGATACAATTTCAATGTGTCAATGTTAATTTTTATTCAGTTTAGTCATCCACCCCTATGCACAATTATCAACTGGTCAAAATAATTATATGGGGATGTTATGGAAGCATAATTTGTGAGTTAACAACTTGAAAATGTGAGATAATTTGTTGAATTCAAAGTTTAGTTATTTAGTTCAAATCAGAGGAGTCATCAAACAAAAGCCATGATTTACAAGATCCAAGATCCTTGCTCAGTTGCTCTAATGTTTTCACTTTTCACTTGTAGCAAACTACATAGTAAAAACCTAAAGTTCTGAACTGTTAAATGTGAACAACATCAACACAAACAGAATAAGATGCACAAGCATAAGTACATCAAACTCTCCACCAAGTAAAAATAAGTAGACAAAAACTAAAACTGAAAATGCCTTACGAAATTTTAAACAATCCAAATTGATATAACAACGATAAATTGCCAAACACAAACAAACACACAATGATCAATGATTGGAGAGGCACAACACAGGTAGAACTAAAATTTGAGAGTGAAACACCGACCTTAACCATGGGAAATGTTGTGATGGATGAACATAAAGCTGAATGGCAGACAAGGAGACATTGTAATACTGTTTGACGCATTCCCTCCCATCCAACACCAACGGAACACCGGCCCCATATGCACTCCATTCCTTGAAAGATTCCCACAAATCCCCAAGCACATAGTACGCATGCCACTCTCCCTCCATAGTTTTCCATCTTCTCTTGCTTCTCTGTTCCTTTCCCAAACAAACCCAATTAACCCCCACAACAATTCACTTTCAATTTTCAAACAAACCTAACACTACCCCAAAATTACAACACAAACCGTTTGCAATGCATTATTATCACCTCAATCTCTCAGAACTTAAGTACAAAAGGATAGTCCAATTTTAGAAAAAAACTATTCCATTAAGTGAAAGAGTCCCATGGCTTAACGGCTTAAGCTTAAGTATCACATCAAGTATTTTATGCTACAAAATGAGGGACTCCTACACGATCCGTGGAAAATTCTTAAAGTAATCAATAAACCAAACATGATTTTTGCTAAAAAAAAACTGATAAACTAATTTTTCAGTCCAAATTAATAAAATTAAAATGTTCAAAACAAAATAAAACGCCATAAACTCATACATCATTCGAAAATTGAAAGGCATTGATTTGGTTTAGTTTACCATGGGAAAATATTGCGCGGGAACATGCGGTGTGGTGTGCTCCAAGAACCGACACAAATTGGAGACCTCACGCGTTGTTTCAGAAGAAACGGAGCAAGCGGAAGAGGAACCGGGCCTGTTCTCCGACAACGTTGACCTTTGCTCCTCCACATGTTCCTGTTCTGGTCGGTATTTCCGCAACGGTGGCGGGTAGTAGAAACGGTCCGCGCCGAGGTAGCGGTGGTTCCTCCTGACGTTCCCGCCGGTGACGGCGGCGCCACCGGAGATCGACATTGACGAGTGAGTTCCGGCGTTGAAAGTTAGTTGGTTGGAACTGGGAAACGACGACGTTTGAATAACAGGCTACAACTAACAAGACCGCGAATTGAAACAAGAGTTTAATATTTATTTATTGGTTTTCATTAGTATTTACTATTTAGGCATTTTTTTGGTTTTACTTTTATTACTTCAGAGTGAGTCGGCGCGTCTCGAATGGGAAAGGGAAGTCACTAGAAAGATCTAGAAACTACAGAGCATGTAAAGTGTAAAGTAAGCACAAACATCTTCATGTAGCTTGTTTCCAAGTGACACGTGGTAAACTAAAAAAGGACAACACTTTACTAAGATTAACCACTTGTCTCCAAGTTTCCAGAGATAGAACAAAAATTACTAATTACGAAAAAGTTTATATATAATCCTCACTAGTTTTGATTTAAAAAATAACTAAAATAACTCTAAGAGTTTAGGAGACAAAAGTGTTTTTACTTAGAAAATGTAATTAATTGTGTTCTTACCGGAAATCTGCCGTAGAGGTGATTTGCCAGGTAAGATCAGTGAGCCTCCTTCACGGGTACGCTGGTGTTCCAAGATGGGGGTGGTACCTGCAAAAGAGACTCCGATGCTAAAGTTAGTGTTTGTGGGAGTATGAATCTCGTATATGTAATGCACGTACCTTAGTGTGAATTAGGGTTGTTTTAGGCCTTGGGCCTGAGATAAAATGTGATAGGATTAAATGATGGATCCCGTCTGAAGCGAGATCGCTCGAGATCGGTTACGATTTGCTTAAATGCCGAGCTGACGTCGCGTAGCGCGCGCCCGACGTCGTTTTGTGCAGTGATGCCGAGCTCGGAGCTCGGCTTCGCGGTACGGACAGTACACTAACCCCCCGAGCTCCGAAGTCCGTTAGGTCGAGGAGTTAAGACCGAGCTTGCTTGGGGGGGAGTGACCTTTCGCGTACTTCTACCTGTTGAGATGTCATGCGTCACGACTGTTCATTTCCCGAAAACGTGCAAGCGGCGCGTTGTGGGAAATGACGGTTATGCAATGATGGACTTGCAATTAATTGTGTTGTCAGGCGTGCCCCCTGACCGACACGTGGCGTGGCAGTTTTGAAATGTGGGAAAAAGCCCTTCTCTTTTTCTCTCCCGCGTCTCTTCCCATTCGCTTCACTCTCTTCTACTCTTTAGCTTCTTGGGTACGATAGTCTTCTGTGCTTTCTTGTTCCTATCTTTCTTGCTTTCGTTCGCCTTTCGTCTTCGTTTTCACAGTCTTTCTTCGAGTTTTCTTGATGGCTGGTGGTCGTGGCGTTGGTTCTTCTGCGCCCGCCAGGGGCAAGGCGCGCGGAAAGGCGGTGGCTACCGGGAGGGGTGCCGCCGAGAGGAGAGAGTTACCCCCGCCTAAGGACTTGGAGCCGGGTGTTCCTGGTTATGACTAGGTCAAGCGCGAGGTGGGGTTCGTCCAAAGTGTGTTCAGGTCGCGTCTGGAGGTCGATGCGGTTTGGGAGACGCACCAGATTTGCGACCCCACCATTTCCCGGACGATTCGGCTCGAGCCTTGTCTGACTGGTGAAGGTGTGTTCATGGGCCCCCTCCTGCGAAACCTCCTGCAATTGTGCTGATCACTCCTTATGGGGGAGTTGATCCTACTTCCTGGGCTACCTCGGCTCGCATTGCTCCGCCGGGGTTGGGTTGAGAGCCGGAGTGATGATCAGAGTGTCGCCGCTGGGG